TGAAGTCTCTAAGTCATCGGGTTTCAAACCCAAAATTTTCACAAAAGAAGCGGAAATAAAAGAGTGCGTAGCACCAGTGTCGAATAAGACTCGTGCAAAAGAGTGAGAGATAGGTACCATACCCTCGACGACTGGGTTTCCAGCATGAGCACCAGAACTTCCCCCGGCCATGGTATGCATCTGCCCCGGTGCTTTCCCTTTTCCTCTCTCATTGTTGTTAGGTCTCTGGTTTCCAGGTCTGTACTGTTGTTGCAGCGGGGTAGACTGTATCGATACGGAAGCCTGTGGCCGGAAATAAGAGTAGTTCGGCGGATGGAAGATCGGTGCAGGAGGAGTTGGCATCTGGACAGGCAACTAGGGCTGATAGAAAGGCGTGAACTATGGAAGTCTGTCTTGACTAGGAGCAATACCTCTTTGACTCTGCGGTAATTGCTGGGTCTGTTGGTTCACCTGTTGGCCCCTGCTAGGACAGTTCCTCTTGATATGCCCTAGCTCCCTACTATGGTGGCACTTGAAGCTATAGGGTCCACTCTTCCCACTTCCCGAAGAGCCACTACTACCACTAGGCACTCCCCCACTACATTGCCCTTGATCACGGCTTTTTCTGTTATTCCTTTGAGGTCCTCCTGAAGTTTTCCCTGAAACTGCTCGATCTTGGAGGATGGCGAAGTGCTCTTGTTCAATAGAGATGGCTGCTGCAACCAGGTCACTGTAGACTCGATGCCTTAAAGCTACCACTGATTTTCGGATTACACCCTTAAGACCTTTCTCGAACTTTAGGCACTTCATGCGTTCCAATTCAATCAAGGAGGGAGCAAAACGTGACAGTTTATTGAACCTAGCTTCGTATTCCCTCACTGTCATTTCCCCTTGCTGTAGGCCCATGAATTCCATGGCCTTTTCATCTCGATAACTTTGGGAAAAGAATTGCTCATTAAAGAGCGCTTCGAATTGTTCCCAAGTCATCCCCTCTACATCTTGCATTCGCCGGATATGCTTCCACCATGCACCTGCAGGACCTTCAAACTTAAAAGCTGTGAACTCCACCCAATACTCATCCGGTACTCCCATGGTACTTAGATGCTTAGACACCAATTCGAACCAATACTCAGCTTCCTCGGGTCCACCTGCACTAGTGAATGTGGGAATTGAACTACGCCTATACTCACAGAAGTAGTTCTGTTTTCTGTCCTCCGCGGGACGTTCATTTTGGGCTCTAGTAGCCATCCCTTGGAAAGCGGTGTACATGGCTTCCATGAATTGTTCATTCGGCATCGCCGGTGGGTTCGGGTTTCTACGGCGCGGCGGCATTCTTTTATCTGAAAAGAAAGCTAGACTGTTTTAGTGGTTTCCTGATGTCATTCATGTATGCATAATTCCAAACCCTAAGGTTCTAAACCAAGGACTCTGATAGCAAGTCTTGTCACGCCCCCAAACTGGGGTTAGTGACGTGGAGGCTCGTTTAGAAACTTAAACCTGTTTGAGAGAGGGATTAGCAAATATTTTAATTCCTTTCAAATCCAAAACATCCAGGTATTTCCAAACGAGCCCCCTTTTCATTCAAGAGGAATTTAATTTCAAGAACGGTGGTGGAATTTCCAACCAAACCAGTCTAAAATCACGTCCCTGGTATCATGTCAGGAATTCCCACATGTGTTTAGCATACATGAACATAAACAAAAGTAAATATGACATCAACCACAGTCTAGTAATATTTAAGTTTACAATCCATAATCTCTTATACATGCCTTGAAATAAAAGATAAGAGGAAATACAACTCTTCATTTTCCTGAAACAAGTCCACGTCACTGGTAGTAGCTACCTACTCCGCACTATTCTTCGCGTCGCCTGGAGGGGTTTAATACATTTAAAAACAGGAAAAGGTGATCGAAAGGCCCAGTAGGATATAATTTTATAAAGTATTTAAAATAAAGGTACTCACGGTCTGAAGATATACACCCAGAATCGATCATCCCTTTTTAGAAAAGGAAATACTCACAATAGAAAATATATGTACAATGAAAGTGTGCAGCTCATCATACCACTAAACAAGAAACGGTAAAAATGTCTGTCTATGAAAAATGCAGAGCCATGATTCCACTAAATAAGAAGTGGATCCGTACGGGTTTCGGGACCTGCCCCCAAGGATGCGATTCCCACATCCCGATCTCTGTGGCCACCATGCGTTGTATCATTCCTTAAATATTTCATTTTAAGAAATGATACTCTTTAAAATCTCATTTCTAAAATCATTGGAAAACTTAATAGCATTCTCATGCTATTCCTTTGAAGTCATTTTCTTTAAACATGTTTTGTTCTAAAACATTTTCATTGGCCAAAATCATTTAAAGTGAGGCTAAAAAGGATATGGACAAGAATATCCTACCTGTTGGATATCAAACATGGTTTAACTTTCCGTTCTCCTAGCCTCCGTTTTCATTTGAGGCTCCAATTCCAATCGTGCCACTAGCTTTCCCATCAAAATCAACAATTTAGAGTTTGATCTTTCTCACCAAACATTCTTGTTTAATTAGATGTAATTGTATCATATTAGTGTGCCATAGTTCAAAATCAATATTCATAAACAATTCTTAATTCAAATCATGATTCTTTGTACATAGAGATTCATTCCGGAGAATCGAATGGAAAATAAGGATTCATGTGGCTAATCCACTCATTTTGAGTTCTCAAATGAGGTTAGGTCAATCCTATAGGGTTTTCTGGGCTGTTTAGGGTCGGTTTCAGTGGGAACCGGTCGACCGGTGACAGAGGAGTGCAACTCCACCGGTCAGCCGGTGGAGAGGTGACCGGTCGACCGAATCGGTCGACCTATGGAAGGGTGACCGGTCAACTGGTGGGAAAAACTCCAGGGCGAACAATGGCCGATTCGCGAGGAACAAAGGAACAAAGCCAAAACCTGAAATTTTGGATCTAATTTTGACATATTCTCAAGGGAAATGTATAGATCCAGTTTCAAATCAACAAATAGGGTCCAAAGAATCAAAAACCCCCCAATTTTCATCAAGATTTCACCAAATGCCATTCGGATTCCATTTGAAAACAAAAATTTAAACTAAAAATCACCAAACTCGACTAAAACGAGTTCCACAAAACTAAATCCAAAAATCTAAAGTAAGTTTCAAAGAGTTTTACCTCGATCCAAGCTTTGATATTGAAAATCTCTTAGAAATCCCCGTTTTTCTTTAAATCCGGTTCAAGAGCGTTCTTGAGAGAGAGGGAAAACTTGAGAGAAAGAGAGAGGAAGAGATGAACGGGAGAGGGAGAGGGGGAGAGAGAGAGCTCGAGGTAGAGAGAGAGTAAGGAGAAAGAGAGTGTCGAGACAGAGAGAGAGAGAGAGTAACGTGAGGAAGGGAAAGGAAAAAGGAAATAAGGAAAAAGGAAAATGAGAAATAGAAGGAAACAAAATTAGGAAAAATAAATAAAATAAATAGGAGTGAAATTATAAATACTAAAATAAATTTTAAAAGCTCGTGATTAATTAAGAAAATTAATTTAGGTACATTAATAAATCACAATTATCATAATTAAATAAATTTAATTTTAAAAAGCGTTACAAAATCATATTAAATTAAAAAAAATATACAAAATAAATTGACTCTCATACATATATATCACTTAAAAATAAAAACCTTTTGGCAGGTCAGTAACTGAAGAGGGAAGCTCCTCTTTTTTTTTTTTTTTTTCCTATTTCCTTTTAAAGGGAAAGATATTTGCTACTTTTCTTGCCCTAGACAAATGGAAACGTAAATATCCATCAAGACCATCACTTATCATTAATTTCGGTTTTGTTCGATAAAAAGAAAAGGGTCCACCGACGACGCTCACAAAATCCACACCGTTCAGGAACCCATAAATTAAGGACACGCGTCGCAAACAGGTAGCGAGCTTTCTTCTGGTAAACCACCACCCGTTGAACACCAAGTCTCGTAATTCGAGCGCCGATCCGTATGATATTTATGATCCAACGCAACGATATTTCTGTAGAAAGAAATAATAAAAAAGGGAGATAATTAAATTCCCAACTGAAATTAACAAATAAAAAACTAAATATCCCATTTTCCAAATTTCCAATGCGCTTGGATTTGATTGGGCGGTAACCCCAATGAGATTTCTCTTTTCTCCCGGCAGGCACCGCCTTTGTGTGGCAATTAATAGAAAATAGAAAATAAAAAATAAAAAATAAAAAATAAAAAGGAGATTTCCATACGTAGGATTTTTATCATGTCTTTATTTTTTAAGTTTTTTTTTTTTTGTATTTTCTTTATTTTCATCAGATTTAAAGACCATAAACAGGCAACATCCGTAATTAAAACCGGTCATTCAACTTACAAGGACCCAAATAAAAAATATGGAAACATTTTTTCACTATCTCTTATCTTTTTAATTATTTAATTGAATTTTTCGTTTTCAATAAAAGATTATTTAATTGAATTTTAGTTTAGCATTAAATTAATAGAGATTCTCTTTTTCTCTCTCATCCTTTTTGCCTGTGCCGCTATAAATCAGGAGCAACCCCGCTTGACAACTCTTCTTTCCTGTCTCACGCCTAAGTCTAACTTTCTTCATCTTCATTTTTTTTTCTTTTCTTTTCTTTTAATTTGTACTCTCCTTTTTGACAATAGTAATTGCTCTTTTCTTCTCAAGAGAAGAAGAGTTCCTTTGGAGCTATAGCTGTATAGTAAGCCAAGGTAAATCTCTCTCTCTCTCTCTCTCTCTCTCTCTCTCTCTCTCTCTCTCATCTTCGCTGTGGATTTTGTTCGATCGACGACTTTGTGGAATTTCGGTTTTTCGTTTCGTAGATCTGGTGATTTTGGTGTTTTTGCTCAGAAAATTCAGAAGTCAATTGAACGTAGAAAGTTTTTTTTTTTTTTTTTTTTTTTTTTTTATTCTGGGAGCGAAGGAATTTCTTTTTCTGATGAAATCGCGAGAAATTTAAGTGGATTTCAGTTTTTTGTAATATACAAAAATAGAAGGTACAGATACAGAATGGTTTGGGCTAGATCTATTCGAGTCCGTTGGATTTCGATAGGAGAGAAATAGTAATTTGAACCTGTGGCTCCGAGAATTCGAATCTGTCAACCATGTCAGCTGGCATTTTTTTTTTTTTTTGTATTTGTTTGACCAGATCTTGATCTAGGAACTGTAGACACTTTTCGGATCTGCTAGGGTATAACTCCAAAATTGAATTTTCCTTTAATCTAACGATTAATTATTTCCTTAATTAATTAATTTAATTTGTTTTAATGATCGATGGTGTTTTTATTTTTTGTTGAAGATGAATCGGATCCAACGACAGAGCGGATTTTCAGTTTGCGAAGAGATTAGATCAGGATCTTCTGTCGTTTGCCCAAAGCCTCGCCGACTGGGCCTCCTTAACGCCGCCGTTCATGACCACCACCCAATCAGATCTCTCAGATGGCATCTCAAGTAATTTTCTCTCTCCTTAATTTTTTGCTCGTCTTTTTATATTTTTTCTAAATTCAAAAGGTTAATTATCTTAATTAATTTTTCATTAATTTTGATTGCTTGAATTTCAGCCACCAATCGGAGCTTTGTGATTCGAAAGCAGGGACAGATCTTTTGGACGCCATCCTCACAAAGGTCAGTTCTTTGCCCTTTATCTGTCTTTTGTGTTTTTAGGTGTCCGATCTATTGGAAAATTTGTTTTTAAGTGCAGTATTTGCTGTTTTATATCGGTCTTTATATTTGATTGTGTTCTTCTGATTATCTTTAGAAAAAGACGTGATCTTTAAAATGGATGTGTATATTTTTGGTTGTTGATGATTCTGTTCATTCTCATGAGAGATGTAATTAAAAGCCTTGTTGGTGTTATATCTTATGTTGAATATTATTTACTATTTTCTTTTTGCTGGATGCCTAGTTTTGTTGCTGATATTAATGTTTATGTTTGATCTTTGTGATCACAGGGTGGTTATGGTGTGGAACAATCTAGTCAAGTAGCCTCGTCGCCCCCATTTTTCAGCGGGTCGCCGCCGAGCAGAGTAGCTAACCCATTGATTCAGGATGCTCGATTCGGGGATGAGAAGCTCACCCCATTCTCCTCGCTGGCGCCAGTTCCTCCTCCCTCAGGTCTGTCCTCGCCTACATCATCGTCCGCAAGGAAAGGAGGCTGTGTGAGGGCCAATTTTGGGAACAAACCAGCGGTGAGGATCGAGGGGTTTGATTGCCTGGACAGGGATCGACGTAATTGCAGTATCCCTGCCCTCGCATAAAACTTGTCTCCTGTCGAACAAAAGGTGTATAGGAAAAAAAAGATTAAAGTTCACTATAAAAACAATCAATCAATCAATCTTTGATAGAGCGAGAAGAATTTTGAAACTACCAGTGAGGGAAAAAGAGGGAGATCCTTTTGTATTGTGTAAATATGTTTTAAAGGGTTCTCTGTAGAGAGGTAACTTGTCATGTATGTAAATGAGATTTTTACTAAATAATGAAAAGGAGTCTTTAGGTTGTTTTGTTAGGGAAGGTAAAAATAGAGGTTTGTGAGGGGTGTGGAGTTTGGGTTGAGAAGTCTTTGCTTACCACACCCATCTTTGTATTGTAAAGTCTAGTCTGATGGGGAATTTTTCATTGTATTTTTCTTGTGGGTGCTTAAAAGTTTCAATGAGCGGCTTGTGAAGAGAATCTGTAAACATTAAAAGTTGCCGTTGAGTCCAATCTAAGCAGTCATTTTACACTTGTATATACACTGTTCTTGAGTTTTAATTTCCATTGTCAATTTGTTACTTTTTATGTTCTCTCTTTTTTGTTGCAACTCAATTTTCTAGTCTTATGACGTTTGTGAGAATGGACAAAAGTTGCTTTTGCAACAAGCAAAATTGCCTTGATCGTTGATCATGAACTATCTCAGGGTTTTGAATGTGTATAAAAAACTTTTGTTCAAAAAACGAATCATCGAATTGGAATCTGTTTACATGAGCTTTTCTAAAGCAGCAACCAAAAAGGATCATTTCTCTGCCTGATCTGCTTTACATCTAAGCGGCTTTATTCGCTAAGGTAAGCAATTGGGCATCTCTTTCTGTCTGTCTGGTTGTGTTTGTTTGGCTCAAACCGAGTGTGGAGTTGTTTTTGAAGAGTTTGGAATCTTTCTTTAAAGGGTGCTCTTAATATTCTCTCTCTCTCTCTCCTTTTTTTTTTTTTGGTTTCTTTTTCCTATTATTACGCGTAGTCTAAATAAAGGCGTATTAATGGTGCGAACGTTCAAATTTGAGTTTAAGACGCAAATTGTTGGGGTCCAATCAAAATCAAATTACAAATTTGTATTGCAGTCGTGTTTAGCCACTGCCCTCTTGTTTCTGGAAAGGGCAGTATAGTTGCAAAGGATATGCACGAGCGGTTTTCTTGACTCTTAGGGACCAGTAACAGTAAGGGACTTTTATTTGAGGCTGTCCACATAGTAAAAGGAAGGAATTTTGAAGTTACTTACCGGGTTTTCTTCTAAATTTTTGTGATAATTCGGTTGAATGACAGGTGAGAAAAGAAAAACAACGTAATTTAATTTTTTTTTTTTAAAGACTTTCTCTAATGTTTCCTCATTTTTAAGAATACTAATATTTTATATTTTTAATCGTTAAATTTATATTAAAATTTATCTATTATGTATATTTTTTTAATTTAGTGTGATTTTAATTATATTTAATAATTAAAAAAATAAAAATATCAGTGTTCTTAAAAATAATGAAACAAGAGAGAGACTATTTTTTTGAACAATAAAATAAGTATAACAAGTAATAATTAAAATTTTAAATAAATTTAATTCTTAGGTGGTTTAAAAAATAGTATGAGAAAAGTAGACTGGAATTTTTTATTTAATATGAAGAAAATTAAGCAGTATTTCGTCTTTCCATCAAACCTGTACGTTGATAACATCTAGGCCCTCCTGTTTGTCGCTTTGCTAAAACTTCGGAAAGGAACAACTGGGGAGAGTTACATTTTTGTTTTTGAAAAAGAAACATGAAAGTCCAATAATAATGTTTTTTTTTTTCTCCCATGGCATTGTTAAGTTCTCCACTGACCCATTCCAACAAGTTTGTCAGATGGTTTCAGTCTATTCTTTGTTAAATATATAGCTCCACAATTTTCTATTTCTTTCAAATCGTTTGAGTCCATTTTTTTTGTCAATTCTATAGCATCATAATTTTCAGAAAATTAGAGAGGGAAAAGAAAGTATACGCAAAATCATACTTTCACTTAATATGAGATATATGGGTTTGATTTGAAAATTAATTAGGTTAATGACATGTTTATTTATTAGAATTAGAAAATAAGAGTAGAAAATGAGCATCAATCTTATGTTTTTTTACTCTTTGTTATCTTAAAATGAGGGTTGAATGTGTGCGCACCACACAAATTTAGTATTGAGGATGGGAATGGCCATCCTATCCCCCTCAGGATTAGGACTACCAATTCTAAATTATTATCTTATCGACAATTTACTTATAATTATTAGATAAAAACTGAAATTTCAAATTAAACATAATTATAACCTTATTTTATTTACATAATATAATAACTTTTTTATTTATTTTTGTTTTATACATAACAAACTATTTATTTGTAAAATAAAATTAATTACACACCTTATATTTAGAAATTAATTACCTAATATATAATAATCACCTTGATTATGATTAAAATTATTAATGGCTGTACAAATTATTTTTCAAATTGAAAATACAAAAAATACTTAAAGGCTATATAAGTAAATCTATAACAGTTTATTTTGATCATTTGAAAATACAAAAAATACTTAAAGGCTATATAAGTAAATCTATAACAGTTTATTTTGATCATGAATTTAAGTAAATGCACGAATGAGATTTGAACTGATTTCGATTTTAAATCTTACAACCTAATTAAACAACTTACTCTTACTATGATTCCTTACTACAAATTCTGCCCAGTGTGATTGGTGAGTATATAAGTAAATCTCTAACAATTTATTTATTTTGATTCTGAATTTTAGTAAATGCATGAATGAGATTTGAACTGATTCCGATTTCGAATCTTGCAACCTAAGTAAACAACTTAAATTTATAACAGTTTATTTTGATTCTGAATTTAAGTAAATGCATAAATGAGATTTGAACTGATTATGATTTCGTATCTTGCAACCTAAGTAAACAACTTACTCTTTATTTCGAATCTTGCCAACTCTGATTCATGATCTCTCCGATCACGGGTAAGTAAACATATCATAAGAGCTATCCCATTTTGTTCAAGCATCTCTAATGCAATGCTAAAAGAGATGTCCAACTGCAAATTAACATTTAAGTGTAAAACATTCTCCAATACAATATCATTTGTTGTATTAAATTTGTTATAAATTATTCTTTATGATAAATTTCACACTAAATATAACATATGGCAAATTTAACATTTGATTACTATTGGTTGATTTATTTATTTTTTACATTCCGTTCGGTTTGTTAATTCGAGTTGAGATGTGATGTTGTGTGAGAGCTTTTTACTGTAGCAAAAAAGTTATATGTGACTGTTTCTGAGAACTTTTTACTGTAACAAAACTCAAATTTTAAATTCGAATCAGCGAAAAGAACGGGGCCTCAGTTATTGCAACTTTTGCTTTTTCAAAATTTTTAAAGTTAGTAGTTTACTTTTGCAACTTTTAAATTATATGAGAAAAAATATCTTTAGTATTTAAAATAATATTATGTATTTGGAGCACAAATAAAAATAACATTTTTATGATATTTTTTGAGGCCAGATATATAAGTGGTATTAATATTTGCGTTGTAGCGAGTCTTGCAAAAGAACAAAACTTCTTCCTAAACTTACTAAGTTACAACTTTGGCCTTGTGGCGATCATAAATCTTTTTAACGGTTTTAATCATGGACAACTCACGTAACTTGTTGGTAAATGGTATTCTCTAAAGGTATTTATCACGTGTACTTGACGAATATACGAGACTAAAACCTTTAAAATTGACGTTTCGATTACGCAAGTAAGACAAGGTCAAATTTGAAAATAACCCCCACTCTAAAGTGACAATGCCGACAATCATTCTTTAGTATATTTCAATAAGAATACGTAAATTATACATGTATTTTGTTCTATTTTGATTTATCCTTTTTCTTTTGGAATAACCCGATGAGATTTCTTCGTTTCCTTTTGTTCTCATTTTGAAATCCTATGGAACTTATAGTTGATAGTGGGAGTGAAGTTTTGTTTGACATCTTTTTTCTCTTTGTTGTTTTTTTCCTTGAAATATTCGACATCCTTTTCAGAATACTCTTTTGTGAATTTTTTTTTTTTTTTTTTTTTTTTTTGGAGCAATGCTATCTGTACATGCTGAAGTTTTCCCTTTTGTTTCGGAAGATATTTTTTGAAGGTTTTTTTTAACCTTAATATTAATGCAAAATTACGTGGAAGTGAAAAGAAAATAGAAAAACTTAAAACAGGTTTTGAAAGATACAGGCCAGCTATTTCTTGGCTGCTCTATCTAATTCCCAAATTCTACTTACCTTTCCACGCGTTGCGTGACAAAAGTCAGACCAGCTAGCAGTGGTTAAACATTGGGTATCCAACATTTCTCCTATAATTATAGCATTAATGTAAAAAATACTACCACTTATCTTTAAAAGTTACAATCAACAGCAAGAAACTTCCACATCAAATAACATAAAAGTAAATGATTGGTTGTAAATCATATCTCTTTATTTCTTTTAGAAAAAAGCAAATCTACAATTGTGACTTAGAGAGAACAAAAAAAAGGGTTAAAGTTATAGTAGATAGGCAATTTTTAAATAGCATATTTTAAAATATTTATGGATAAGGTAAATTTACTGTAAATATACTTCACAAATAAATCATTTATTGAAAATATGCTATTTTTTTTTGGTAATGAAAGAAAATATGTTGTTTATCATAAACATTTTAAAAAAAAAATATTGTTTAGCCTTTCTTCAAAAAAAAAAAGAAAGAAAGAAAAAAGAAAACCAACAGTATGAAGAAAAAATAAAAAAAATTCCCACAGTTAACTATTGTTGATTTACCCCAAGGATTAATTGGAGTAAATTCCACTTCGTTGTTTCACCCTTGGAACTTGTTCGGCCGTATGGCCGAACCGAAAACCAAGACGATAGGTGGTCAATTTACGGCCTCTTTCTCACTACGGCCTTTTCAGACACAAGTGGGTTTTTCTCCTTTTTTTCTTTTTTTTTTTTTTTCAATTTCCATTTTTTAAACCTTGAATTTCAAACTTGCAAACCAGTTGGCTGTTGGAGCCACAAGTTTGTCACTAAACTGTTGTTCATAAACCCGTAAAACTCACAAGTTCAATTCACCCCATCTCAATTTAACTTGAAAAATACAATTTTTAGTGTTAAATTTTTTTATTTCAGCCCATTTAATGTATGCCTTGAAATTTTGGTGTGGGGTGTGGGTTAGATCTATAATGGCCGGCACAACCCAACCCAATCCGCGCTCTAATTTACATTCTCTAATATCTAATCATAGACAGACAACTCATTTCTATTCTCTAGTTTCTTCATGTTTTAATTAAGTCTCTATATTTACTTTATGTTAAGACTAATTTATGAGTGTAGACTAATTTATGTTTACTTTATGTTTGATGTTGGATGGACTACTTTGCTTCATGTTTGATGTTGGATTGAACTTTGAATTTCTATATGTTTGAATGTAAAGTTATTATTTGTATTTGATGATAAACTTCGAATGTTAGATTGAACTTTAAGTCTTTGATTTTTTGAATGTTGAAACCGACCACCCAACCTACCCTACACCACCCCAACCCAACCCAAATAGTATTGAGTTGAGAAAATTTTCTAACATCATTGGGGTTAAATATGTGCAACCCGTACCTTTTAAGGCAGGGAAAAAAAAACCTATCATGTACCAACCCAACCCATGAACAGCCCTACCGACAAGGACAAGAAACACGCATTTGCGCAGATATCACTATTAAGGTCCAACAATTATCTTCTACCAGTTGCAGAAGCTCAACTGGTAGAACTATAACATTTCTGAATATTTATTTTTGATATTTTATTTATTTTACCCGGCATGACACACTTTAAGTCTGTTTGTCAAATGTACTTAAACCAATAATTTTAATTTTACTACAACGTTTTTCTATCACAAAAAAATTAAATTTAAAAATTTCTCATAAATAACTATCTGACAAAGTTCCTATTAATAAATTAAAATTATTGAGTTGAACGCATAAACGGATGGTTATTATATGAGAAAGAATGCATTACTAGTATTTAGTGTCATACTGAAAAATAGTAGGGATACCCATAATAGGAGTCTCAAACGGGGCGTGTTGAGGGATTTGGATCAACTATATAGCTTTTTCGATGATGTTTAGTTCATGGGTTTAAAATTATGATTCATGATTTTGATTTTTAAAATTTTAATTTTTTGTGAGAGAAAAACACTCTAGTAGAATAAAAAATTATGATCCTAAATTAGACAGAACTTTGAAATAAACGCCACTTTCATTTCTTAAACAGTGTGTACCTTATCATATATTACGGGCCAGTTTAGTTTGCTGATTCGAGTTTTTAATTCCAGTTAAGATGTGATTTTATGTGAGAGCTTTTTATTGTAGTAAAAAAGTTATATGTGATTATTTTTAAGGACTTTTTACTATAGTAAAACTTAAATTTTAAACTTAAATCGGTGAAATGAATGAAGTTTACATTTTTTAAAGGGAAATAGTAAGAAATAAACCAATATGAAAAGCTTAAGAAAGTATATAGGCCAATTTTTAGTTATAGAAATTAATATGCCATAACTTGTCAAGTTATGGTTCATAACCAGATAAGTTATGGACAAACTTGTCAAGTTAGGGTTCATAACCAGATAAGTTATAGACAATAACTTGTCAAGTTATGGTTCATAACCATATAAGTTATGGATGAAAATAATAATTTGGCATGTTTATAAACTTATATAAACTATTGACCTATTAATTTTAATTTATCTCAAATCTTGATTTATTTTCCTCTTTCTTCTTTTTTTAAATGACGAAACATGACAGCAGTTGGTTATCCTTGGTCAGACTCAGAACCTGTATAATGCTCTCAAGAGTTTTACTTGTTGAATCCTCACAGAATTCGTTGAATGCATCCACTGGTCCAAAGCCCAAGTGACAAGAATAAAAAACGTCCTTGTTTCTCCAAAGCCCAAGTGACAAGAATTAAGAGTTGTTTAGTTGGGAATTCGTATTTCAATTTGAATTATAATTTATAATTTGTTACAGTATTTTTTTTTATAAAAAATATATATAAATTAAAAATAATTCTAATCTCATTATTTTAATTTATGAACTAAACGTCTCATAAAAAACTTTGTTGTTTCTCTAGAGCGTGCCAACCAAACTAATTACTACTAATCTTTAGCCTCTTGGAACTACAAAAGAGAAAAGCGATACGGAAAATCTCTTTGGCCGGGTTTTTCGCTTTTCTTTTTGTTTTTGTGTGCCTCTTGGTAGTAGTAGCTCGAGGGCGTGCTTCAAACCACGACAAGTAGATTGCACGTGAATAGTGTCAATCAACGACAAATAAATAAAAAATAAAAAATCTCACTTGCACATGCCACCAAAAAGGATATATTAGTTTAATTTTAGTCTTGTGAGCATAGCTTAAAACGTCCAACGTTTTCTCGTTAGTTTGGAATTGGAGCTAAGCTAGCTAGCACAACAAAGTTTTCCAATGAAGAGGCAGAGAAATGTGGAGTGAAATAGTTTGAAGGTTGTTGTGAAGTTTGAAGCTGATTCGACGGCGAAGATGGGAAAGAAGAGAGGGGTGATCAAAGAAGATCAGGCGGGCAATAAGGCCGAGGAAGAGTACAAGTGTAGCGAAATAAGTCCCTCATCGAGTACGCGGTCGGCGGCGGCGTCAATGGCGGCGGAGAGTGGCTTAGTGGGTTGGGACGATGAAGAGAGTTGGTGGCCGTGGTTGAGTAGCATGGTGGACGAGCAGATGTCGTGGGGCTCCTTTTGGTTGCCGTTTTGGGATGTTGAGTTTATGCAGGGTGAGGCTTATAATATGTTGGTTGGTGATGTGATTTGGGATGATGATATTTGGGGCATTAGGGGAATCAAAGAGGTGCCAAATCCATGAGATACTGAAAGAGAGGTTTTTTTTTTTTTTTTTTTTTTTTTTTTTCCCCTACTACTCATGAGTTTAATATATGAAAGTTCAATTCGTTATGCCATGGTTTGCAAATATTTATATATCACAAAGTGGTTAAAATTTTGTGGATGTATTTGATATATTTGGTTGCTCTGTTTCAGTTTAAAGGATGGTCTAGTTTAAATTAGACATGCCCTTTCAAGTTCAAAGGGCGTTTACTTTTTTTTTTTTTTTCCTGCCTTGCTTGCTCAAGTATTAATCTCACAAATCCCATCACCCCACCACAATTAATCATTAACAAATTAGTGTGAAAAGAGGTGTTTCGTAGAAGATTATTCTAATTTGCCTCCCCAATTTAATATCATGTTGTTAAAGAATTAACGGATAAGTTGAGATTAAGGGTGAAATGTCACTCAAATTTAAAACTTTTAGTTCTTCACCTAGAGTTAGTTGGTTCTTCCCGAAATACATTGAGGCGCAACATTTGACAAAAAATGTAAGAGTAAAGTATTATTTCGATACGGGCGAGAACATTTCCCCTCCCATTTTTTTAAGTGGGGTATTTAAATTCTAAGCTAACACTTCGAGTCATAAATGTAAAATAGTCTAGGCTAGACTATGCATGTAATGATAATATTTCCAGAGGTTTCTCCTAACATCAAACCGCAACATCTTTGTATTTTTACAAGTTTCTTCAATCACTAATCTGAATTTCTTAAAACCTTGACGCTCTTTGTCGCTTCATTAATGTTTGCTCTATTCTCGTTGGTTGTCTCAATTTGCGAACAGCTATCAATCATGATGGTTTTATCTAATTGCGTTTGCGATTGAACAAATTACTAGCAACCACAAACGCACACATCTTCGTGAAAGGAATAGAGGGTTGTCTGAGGCTTCGTTTAACTTTCCAACTACTAAGGATAGCTACATTTGTGGTAGCTAGGTTTTGTACTATTTTTCATTATTGAAGAGCCAAAGCTCCCATTACTTGTTTCTTAATTTATGTTTTTTGTTTGGAATTATACATCTAATTAATCTTTATGTCATCACCACATTTAATTTGCTCAAGTACTTTCACTATTTAGTATTCATTATGTGGTCAGGACCTTAAATTTCAAGGACATAACAAATTCGTACTCAACCAATAAAGACATTAAAATGAGAGCATATTAGAACTCTACCTTATCTCATTTGGATAAGGTGGGTAGAACTTTCTAGCCACACACAATTCAATCTTCAGAGCAACTGGTAGTTTTTGAATTCCCAACTTGTTGCTTTCTATTTACACCGTATTAATTCAACTTAATCTCTTAAACTATAGGGTTATATGAAATAATTGCTCCCTCGTGACAACATTAATTCTAAACTTATTTTGGATCGTTGGTCACATTTTATCAATTGGGTAATGATGGTGTAAGTCACATAAATGACTTATCTCACAGTTTGGGGGCACCCCTTTTGGCTTTTACATTCAACAATCGTCTTAGGTGTTGTAATCTAGTATTCTAGTTCTTAAGCTTAATTGCTTTATTTAAGGGGGGGGGAAAAAAAAAACAAAGAAAAGATAAGGAACAGGCCACAAAAGAAAACAAAGAAAAGAAAAAAAGGGGAAATTGATTTATTAAATAAGAACAGGAATCAGAGCCAGAGCTCTTATGATTCCGTAAATCAAAGTATCATAGACATTGAATTCCATTCCCATAGCCTCAACGTTTCACATTGAAATCGTACAAACCGAACGGGAACTTAATTAACACAAATACAAAAAAAAAACAAAAACAAAAACAAGAACAAAAACAAAGCTGCAAAACCATTGACAAATAGGAACAACCTCCTAATGAGGTAAAACACTTGGAAATACTAATTCACTTATTTGGCCGGAGGCTTGTAGGCAATGAAACTGATGCACTGGACTTGACGGTTGTTGTCGAATCCGATGATACGGACGTGAGCGTCAGGGTACGCTTTCTTGGTTTCCTGGACCTCGGCCAAGACCTGAGTTGCGTCGGTGCACCCGAACATGGGGAGCTTCCACATGGTCCAGTAGCGACCGTCGTAGTATCCGGGGGATCTGTTGTTCTCACGGTAAATGTGTGCTTTCTACACATGCAACAAGTAGTACGTACAACACATAATTAGTATCAATATATTGCAACAAAAAAAGAAAGAAATTGTTTGTTGCCTCTATTAAGTATAAATTGGTCTCCAAATTGTTGAGCTATTTGGTCATGTTGCACAAATATTGGTACATCCTATTTTCTTGTAGCTACTTGCCAAGAGGGAGAGCAATATGACTACAAACCAAACGTTATGTAAGAAAATATTAACAATTTTGTAATAAAGCCTTGAATCCTCTCTCTCTCTCTCTGTTTTTTTTTTTTTGGTTAATTTTTAAAATCTGTGTATTTCTCATTTTCATATGCCTACAAATTACATGAAGCGGATTAATATAATTTCATTACAAAATAGGAGAAATGAGTCGAATATAAATACCCCAACTTCGAATTCCAAGCAAGGAATCCAGTTGCTCCTGAGAAGGTAGTCAATTTCCTTGAGCAATTGCTCGTCAGTCAGATCTGGAAGGTAAGAAAGAGTCTCGAACTTCAATTTGCCTCTCGGGGGCCACACCTGTAGTAGTTACACCAACATATGTTACATTTTGAAAAATAGAGAATTTATGTAGTTTGAATCTTTATCCCTTATTCTTAATAAATACTTTTTTATTAATGTAATTATTTGACTAAAAAAGTTATAAATCAAAAGTAAAGCGTAAAAATCCTGACTCATGTATTATTTATCAAAATTACCCTTACATTTTTAATAATTCAACCAACAAAAAAAAAAAAAAAGAAGAATCCTACTAATTTATCTTCATAATTGAGGTATTTTTTCAAAAGCTTGAAAAAATCTTCCTAGTTCTTTCTGTCTCTTTTAATTTTTTTTTTTTAAGGGTGATTCCACAAAAATTTAACCGAGATGTCATATGTAACATGTTAAGTTAAATTCAATATAAATATAGTACTAGTGTTTTACCTGCATGCACTGAACTCTTCCTCCATTGCTGGCCAAAGCAGTGATGTCATTGGTCTTTTGGTTGATGGGGAAGGATGCGGTCGACTTGAGGCCGGAGAAGGGTGCCACCATGTTGGCCTGCACCGGGGCAGTGCGCTTGATGGAGGCGACGGTGGCGGCTGAGGACACAATGGATGAAGCCATGTTTCTTTGTATTTCTTTGCTTAGAACTCTAAACTCGATATCTCAATGTTCTGCAATCCGTTGAAGAGGGTTTGGTCTGTTTACTATACATTGTATTTATAGTGCATAAACTCACTAGTAGCTACATTTTTCAATCTAATGGCCTTAGTTTGTTGGTGTGGGGGATTGGGTATATCTTGGCCGTTGGATTGTGTTTAACGTTGATGGCCACATATATGGATGCATAGCCTTATCGCTGTACTCTCCATAGATATTGCCACGTGGAATGCTGCCATTATCTTATCTGAGATGAGGGAAATTGAGGTCTTAAATTTAGGAAAGGGTATAAGTCAATCTATTCACGTTCAAGTCTTTTTTTCCCCCCTCCATTTAATTTCTTTTGTTTTTTTTTCTTTATTTTCTTGATAAGTCGTTTCAAACTTCTTGGTGCATATGGCATTTGTATTGTGGATGTGACCTGTGAGCCTTATATTTTGAGCAACAATTTTTCCAAATATCATTTTTAACACACAAAAAGGGGAAAAAAATAATTAAAAAAAACTTTACTATGTGGGGTTGCTTACTTGTATCATGATTGTAATAATAATATAATCAGCATTCAATATGAATATGAAAGATAGAAATTTCCATTTTGATGTAGTAACCAAAACTTTAATTTACAGCCATTGAGATACAGTTGCATTGGTAGATGTGAGAAAGAGCTGACACAACAGAGTGCCGAGTAGTGGCGAGTACCCATGACATTCCAAAATATCTGATGAAAATGTGTAATGTTCTAGGTTCTGATTTTTGCCCCCACATTTTAGAAAACTTGTCGTATTCTTTTTATATATTATAGAAAGGATTATTTTTCATAAGTGTACTCCATTTTAAAGTGCTTTTAATTTTTTAAAATAATTTAATACACTCTTTAATCTAGAAAAAACGATTTAAAATACCTCATTCGTCTAATTCTGTTTATAATCCTAATAGATTTGCTGATGTGGTGAGTAAAAAATCAATTAAAACTATTAAACTGTAATTAAATATATATATATATATAATTGATTATATAATAAAACAATTAAAAACTTAATTAAAGAACATAAAAAAAAAAACCCAAAAGAAGTCTTCTTCTTCTTATATTTGCAGATCCAGCTGACCCATTTCACTATCTCTTTTGTGAAAATTTCCAAACTGATACGCCCCTAATATCAGTGAAGGATTAGAGACGAGAACCACACTCTTCGAGTGAGTGCAAACTCCAGAAAACAAAGAGAAATGAAGGCAAGAAACGAAGACGAAGAAGAGAAGAAACAGAGGAATGCCGTTTGAGATATTATTTCTGTGATAAAAAACTCACAATCATCTGGTATCATTCTTATAGGCTTTCCTAGATTCACACAAACCAGTAGGCTAGGCATAACCGAATAACAAACTCCAAAACAGAATTGCAAGAAACAAAATACAAAGAAAAGTCGAAAGTGCAGGGGTCTTCAACAATCCTAAGAATTCCAGCTTGCTAGTGAAGACGACAGATCTTCTTCCCTTAAACGACATAGTCATTTAACCACACAGGTGGCCTTCTTACACGGGCTGGGCCTTTGACAGCTTGGTCCATGGGTTGGACGAAGGCTGGGCTTCCATTGGGTTGACCATTAGGTTCACGTTCTCCTGCCTGCTCAAAAGGTTCGGGTATGGGCGTATCATTCCCCAACCCTTCAAAATCACCTTGTCCTCAAGGTGGTTAAAAAAAAAAGAAAATTTAATTCAAACACTAAAAAGAAATAATCATTTCAGCATATTGATTTTTTTTCTTTATTTATATATATATATATATATTTTTAATCCTTTTAGCCTCCTCTGCTTATACTCTACTATGACTTGGGAAAGCCCAAGCCAACAGAGGCCCATCAAGAGCAGGGAAGAGCCCAACTGGCTGTCTGACTATGGAAGCAAGGACTATGTCATTTGGAACCCAAGGAGGTCGTTTGGAGGCTTATTCTTCTTCCCCAAATTGAGTCATGAAAATCTTTCACCGCCGTTCCCAACCCAGGTGATCTTGACGCCGATGCATTCTCGGGCTTCTCCGCCGTCGTCAGTTGTTGCAGCCCCGATAAGGCCCGGCTGTCGCCGTCCCTGAGCAATCCTTCGCGACCAAGCTTCCTCGCGTTCGTTGCCGTTCTTCGTCGTAGCTTGCCTTCGCTCGCATATTATGTTCTTCCGCCTCTTACCTCCGTTTCGTCGATCTTGTTTTTGGTACGTCTTTTTTTTTCCTCTGTCTTTCACAAAACTCATTCGCCTCTTCCTTCTATATCCACCGATTCAGAATTCGAGGGCGTGAAGGAACCCGGATGTGAGGCAAATTTCTGGCTTTGCTTTGGGCAAGATCGAATCAGGTACGATATCAGAAGGATCTGGTGGCCACAGATCTGATCCTTGCTTCGGGTACTGAGCAGGTGTGGTGGTGGCATTCTCGGTCTTTTCAGGTCGCGTATGGGGTTGTGGTTTCGACAGTGGTGGACGATCAGTGGAGATCGGAGTTGTTGTGATTGAGTTGATTTTAATCGGCTCTGGTTTTGGCTGACGAATACTCGGAGCGAAGGCTGAACATAGGAAGGTGAGTGGTAATGCTAGCTCGTGTGATTCCGATAGCCCGGATTGTGGTGGTGGCTGGTTTGTGGTTGCATCTGCCTTGGGTGGTAACTGTGTAGACAGAATTGTCTTGCTATTGTTGAAGGAGGACGTCGTTTCGAGGGATGTCGGCGCCGGTGAAAGTGTAGGCAGTCTAGGCTTTCGCACCATTAAGCTGGCTGTGTATGGACCATCACCAAGGGCTTCCATAACTAAGAAATAGTCTGCGAAGTTGTCGCTGTCGATAAGCTCCATCGATATCATCGTCATCTCTCAATGAAAGCACCAATGATACGACCCTCGGAATGGATTCCTATGGCCGGATCGGATAATCGCTCTTCGAGTGAGCGTAAACTCCAAGAAATGAGAAATAGAGGAAGGGCTAGTGAGAATAGAGAAGGAAAGGGGAATGCCGTTTGAGATATTATTTCTGTGATAAAAAAACTTACAATCATCTGGTATCATTCTTATAAGCTTTCCTAGATTCACACAAACCAGTAGGCTAGGCATAACCGAATAACAAACTCCAAAACAGAATTGCAAGAAACGAAATACAAAGAAAAGCCGAAAGTGCAGGGGTCTTCAACAATCCCAAGAATTCTAGCTTGCTAGTAAAGACGACAGATCTTCTTCCCTTAAACGACATAGTCATTTAACCACACAGGTGGCCTTCTTACACAGGTTGGGCCTTTGACAGCTTGGTCCATGGGCTGGACGAAGGCTGGGCTTCCATTGGGTTGACCATTAGGTTCACGTTCTCCTGCCTGCTCAAAAGGTTCGGGTATGGGCATATCACAAACCCTGCTCTAACGTTTTCTTTTGAGATGCAAAGAATGCTCTCTTTTTCATTCTCTTCTTTGAGATTCTCTTCTTATTTTTTTTTTTTGATAGATTTTGGAAATGAGCTTAGCTGCTGAAATGGTGATGGGCTTAACAAGTTCGGCGGGAGGGAGAAGAGGAAGAAGCTAGAGAGAGGAGAGAGGGAGAAAGAAAGCAATGGACCTTTTCTAAAATAAATTTTGTTATTATTATTTTTTTAACATTTAATCATTTTGATATTTAATAAGAATATAATAACTTTTAACTAATATTTATTTCCTAACACATTACCAAAATTCATTAAGAATATAAATAGAATTAAACGAAGGGTATTTTGAATCGTTTTTTTAGGTCGAAGATGTTTTGAACTATTTTAAAAAATTAAGAGCACTTCGAAACAAAATACATATTTCAGAAGTATTTATAAAAATAATCCTTATAGTAATTGTATGATCATTTTACTGGCCTCTATTCAAGCGAAAAGGTACTGTTCTTCAGTACAATTTTAGTATTTTTTTGTGCTTGGATTACGCATAAAACTAATTATCTATTTTCCACTTAGCCAAAAACATACAAGGGTTGATTGCACTCGGGGGGCAAGACATTAAACTCCACTAAATTATGGGATTCTTCTAAAGTAGCACCCAAATTTTAAGAAGATAATAAGATTACAGGAAATGTCTTCACTAGTAGGCGTACCAATCTATTATTTTTTATCGTCAATAATATAACGTTGTTTATATGTTCGTGTAATATTCATTTTGTTCAAGTTAACACTTAATAAAATGTGACACTCAATAAAATGGTCTTCCGTCATGTTATATTACCCTTGCTTCAATGTTATGTTCCACCAAGAAGTTACAAATCTGAAAAGTATTAAACTTAGGCCTTATTCATTTCACCATTCGAGTTTTCAATTTCAATTTTACTACAGTTAAAAGTTCTTATAAAAAGTAACATCTAACTGTTTTGCTACAATTAAAAGTTTTCACATAAAATCACATCTCAGCTCGACTTAAAAACTCAAATCCGCAATCTGAACGAAACCTTATTGTATCTTACGGCCGTGGACTTAAAACAATGCCTGCCACTTACTAACTACACACAATGCCACGAAGAGATCCAACAGTATCAGTGGCCTTCGAGGTGTTGGAAACTTGCACGAGGTAAACTACTCACAATGCCACGAGTAGATCCAACAATGAGATTTGCGACAATAAAAGCACCACGAGATTGCACCAGCATTGCTATCAAATCCACAATTGAACTACCAAATCTCGAGGGAGGAGGTTGTCACATTGTGATCTTCATCACCTTCAGTGGTGCTCTACTATGCGCCTTTCTTTGATTCATTTTTTGCAACATTTTTTAGTATCAGGATGAGAAATTCCTTGTAGTGTGGTAGCCAACCTCCCATAATCATAATTTTCAGTACAACGTCTTATTATCCCTAATATCAAGGGAAGAAAGATGTTATCATTCATCAGAGAGCTACTGTTGGTATCCTGATATGATATTGTTAGGACATTTTTTATATTCCAGATGTGTTAGTGACATTTTCTGTAAGACGTTTTCAACGACAAAAATTGATATAAAAATTAAGGTTTTCAGTATTGCCGCCCACCGAACTTTATGATTTTTAAC